TCAAGGTGACCTAAGGAGGTAGTCTAGCACAAGAACCAAGAGCCGACTTGGAGCCAGGCAGGGCTGAGTTCAAATTCTGGTCTGGCAGTTACTTCCTGTGTCACCCTGATGGGGGCCCTGGTGGTTAGTGGTTATGTGTTGGTTGGATAACCTCAAGGTCAGCAGTTTGAAACTACCAGCTGCTCCTTGGGAGAAGAATGAAGCTTTCAACTCCAGTCAAGAGTCACAGTCTTAGAAACTGCCCACAGAGGGCACTTCTACCCTTGTCTTCGGGGCCACTATGAGTCAGAATTGATTCAATGACGGCGGGTTGGGTTTGGGTCATCTTGGTGAGGTGAGACACTCAACGAGTTTGCACTTCTGTGTCCCTGGAAGGTTACAGAGGAGGACTAACGTAAGGATTACCTGGGATGGTTTGTGTAGAGCTGTCAGCATGGTGTCTGGCCTGAAGTAGATCCTCAACAAGTGTCACTGTGGTAGCGGTGTTAAGTGTTGCCAAGTCGGTTCCGACTCGTAGCAACTGGATGTACAGCAGAAGCACCCACTACCCCGTTCCTCCCCATCCTCACCTCTGTTGTGATGACAGGCAGGAGTGTTATCAGTGATAGTAATTTTTCTGCCCAGTTAATAAATAAGAGCCATGCTCTCAGGTCACAAATAAGTAGACCAGGGTAAATAGAATAGCTGGTTTAGAGAAAATGCTAAAACCACCATGAGACACTGAATTTATTAGGAAAACGCATTCTGGCAGCCAGGCTATGATTTCAAAGACTGATCATCCTAGTTTCTCCCGGGCTTATCTTAGAAAAGCAGCAAACTCTTTATTCCAATCAAGTTTCCAAATGAGGCTGAGTCCTTTCCTTTCTGATGGGCGGCTTTGGGGCATGAGGGACAGACATTGCACCTAGCCCGGGGAACACCAGGGCCACCAGTGGCCAGCCCCACCACCCTCAGGGGGCCCCTGCTGTGTCCAGGCGGTTTCTCTTTAGGCTGGGGCACAATGAGCACCCAGTTTGGCAGGGGGGCCTGCAAATTCAAGTGACCAGTAGTGAGCCCAAAGTGAGCTGACTCTGGGAGCAGTCGATTCATGGTTTTGGCTGTGCTTGAGATGGAAAATTTTGGGCAAAAATACCGGTCCACTCTTGGCCCTGTGCTGCAGAGCCGTTCTACGGCCCTCAAGTGCTTTCCATAGTCGAGCTGATTACGGCTCTCGGCGGTGTTCCCACAGATTCCCACCGCTGGAGCCCTGGTCGACTTTCAGCCAGAGGTTTGACCTTGAGGGCGGGCGCCTGGATTTGGAAGGCGCATCTCGCGACAGCGGGAACAAACAGTTTAATTGCAGTACGCAGGCGCCACAAGTGCCAGGTGTTCCGGAAAATCACTGATGGCCCCACTCCGAGCTGCAGACAAGCCAGATTCCCCTGCTCTTATCTCACAGGAACAAAAGATAAAATAGCCCATCTGAAACACCAAGCACAAAACCCTACCAGAAATGTAGGTGGTTGAGACCTCTCTCTCGCTCTCTCTCACACACACAGCTGTATCTGCATAGCACATCCCCGGAACAATCCTTGAGAAATCAGTAACCTTAGTTTTCTCTGGGAAGAAATGGGGGGCAAGAAAGAATTGGGGACGCTGATGGAGGGTGAAGGCATTTTTTTTATTCTAACCTTTTGAATATTTTAAGTTTTGAAAACCAAGTACGGTATGATCTTTCAAAAGAATGAAAGGGTAACTTCAAATCTCTGTCTCTATATTTTCAACCTGAAGATAGTTCATGTTATGTAATATGCAGTGCTTTATATATGCATGTATTCATTCCATGAACTCTTAGCACAATCTTGTGATGTAGAAATCATGTTCTATTATGATCTCTCTTGATGGATGAGGAAGTTGAGGTACAGAGAGGTTATGTAACGCCCCCAAGGTCACACAGTGAGTGAACACAGAGCTCAGATTTGGACCCAGAGCGCCTGGCTCTTGAGTCTGTCCTCATAATTGCTGCCCCAAACTGCCTTGTAAAAAAAACCCCAAACTAAAAAAAACCACACCCAATAAACATTGGGTCTGGAAGCCTTCATCTAATTAACAATTAAAAAAATAATAAAATAACAATGCAAAACATCTGGTCACCTTTCCATAACCGAGCTGGAGCGGGTAAAACCATTCCTTTCTCCTTTCACCTGGCTCTCCAGGTCCACAGAGGAGAGGGGGCGATGGCTCAAAACTATGGTATTCGCCTCTGGTTTTAATCCTGTGGTGGATGCGAAGACTTTGAGAATGTGTGGCTATCAGGATAATGCAGATACAATTCACTTATAATTTAAAACCTGTGTGCATTTGAGGTCAAACGCGAGTTGGATAAAGTTTGGGCTTTCTGAGCCTCAGCTACTACGTGCCAGCTAGGGAGCAGAATAGGGTCCCTGCCCTTGAGTGGCTTACCGCATGCCGGGGGACATAGATGTCACACGAGTCATGACAGTACTTAGAATTTTAAGGAAAAATTAGATGGTGCACTGACAGATGCGGCCTCGGGAGCTCTGCCTTTTACTGGCCGTCGAGAAGTGTCACTTGGAGAGAGTGTTGAAGAATAGGTGGGAGGAAAGCAGGGGAAATGGGGTAAAAGAAAACCTGTTGCAGGCGGATGGAACAGCCTGAGGCGGGGAAAAGGTATCCGCTTCAAGGACCCCAAGGCCCTCCAGGTTCAACCGGTTGAACCTGGAGAAGACACAGGAGTCAGATCCTATAGACCACAGTGCACCATCATCCTACGAGCCACGGGAAGGCACAGAAAGTTCTAAGTAAGAGTGACATAATCTGGTTTACTTTTTAAGACGATTACGTGGGCTGTGGTGTGCAAAAGATGGCTAGGGGGACATATAAGCAGTGGGCAGACCAGTTAGGAAGCTGCTGCCGGAGTCCAAGTACGCGAAGGTGAGGACTTGGAACAGAGCTGGCAGTGGAGACAGATGTACCGGGGATCGACGTGGGAGGCAGAACAATCCATGAAATGAGGAGAATGTAAGCTGTGACCTGCTGCTGGGAAGCATTAAGTTCATGGGCATGAACATACTTTGCACATGGTAAGATGCTAAGCCAAGGCTACTAATACCATAGAGGAAGACACCAAGCACTACAGAGACCCTAACTTGCCCAAAGTCATACAACTTCTTTGTGCTTGGGAGGAAGGGGTTCAAGCAGCTGGCCTTTGATTCACCCCTCCTTTAGAGCTCTGCCCACAGGAAAGAAAAGATGGCTGATGACCAGGTCGAATCTCCTTGCCCAATAGACCTTCGGATACCTAAAAGCAAACCTACTTCTCTGGAGCCCATTCTCACTCATCGAGACCCTGCGGGACACAGGAGCCTACCCCAGGGGGGGTCCAAGCCTGCAGTATTTACAGAAGCAGGCCTTGGGCAAATGGCTGGTGGGTTGACCTTTTGGTTGGCTGCCCAGCATCTTAACCCTTGCGCCACTAGGGTGCCTTTCTAAAGAAATAAGGCAAGGCTACTTAGGGTGTCTCTTGCTCCTTGTAGACTATCCCATTCATTACACAACTCTCTGGGGCCCCAGATGGCGATGGCATCATGGACACACTTCCCTGTGAAAGTCACGTGTTACTCTGCATGAAGCGTGTCTCCGATGAGGGAAGACAGAGTCTGGGGAGACACAGGCCACCAATTTTCTTTCCTCTGAACGTGCTGATTGCTTGCACTTTTGAAATTGTGTAGGAAGAAGGCTTAGCCCTGGCTGTGATCTCTGATGTATGGGGGAGAGTTGACACTCGGCTCTGTGTGTTCACTCAGCACAGGCCTGTTCTCCAGGCCTGCTTCTCAACGAGGGCCCATGAGAAGGTCCAGTTGGCTCCTCCTGCTAGTGGCACCATTTGCATCTCAGACATAGATTTAAAAAATATTTTTGAAATACAGTTATACAAAGGAAGAAATACAGTATGTTTGGCTTTCCTGTGAATGACTATAAAACCAGTAGGACACAATTCTGGGTTCTCTGTGATGGTTCAGATGGTTACCCTCAGAAATGAACCAGGCCTTCTGGGGCACCAACAACTGACCGTCAAGAAGGCTCCTGAGATGCTTAGGGGGCCCCCTTCCCCCTTCCAGAGGTTGAAGAGTCAATACAATATCAAGGTATGGCAGTGCATATGAGTTTTCAAACTAACTTCTGTTGGCCCTCCTCTAAGTCACAGAATTCTCTCTCTCTCTCTCATTTTATTGGGGCTCGTACAGCTCTTACAGCAGCCCATACCTCAATTGTATCAAGCACGCTTGTACGTATGTTGCCATCATTAGTTTCAAAACATTTTCTTTCTATTCTCTCTTTTGTAAGGTGTACAATTCAGCTTCACATACAACTTCTTTTTTTTTTTGAGTTGAATTTTGTATATTTATCCAGCTCCTCTTGTTACATCTATGCAGCTTTTCTTTCACTTAATTAATCAATTAATTAATTAAATCAATCATGTTATTGGGAGGCTTTTACAAATCTTATAACCATCCATCATTCAATTGTATTTAGCACACTTATACCTAGGTTGCCCTCAACATTTCCAAAACATTTTCTTTCTACTTGAGCCCTTGGTATCAGCTCCTCTTCTTTTCTGTCCCTCCCTCCCCCACCCTCCCTACAAATTCATTCGGAAACTCAAGAAGGATGATAAAAGAGCCGCTACTCTAGCTGGAAGGGAGGGAATTCTTTTCGTCTCTTCTGCTTCACCATCAACTCTACTTATATTGAAGGCGTCAAAAGACAGAATGGACACATGGACCTCAGACCCTATTCCCGGTCCCCAAATCCCTGCTGGTGAACAGAGCCAGTGTAGACAGAGCAGGTCAGGCTAGCACTTCCTTTGGCAGACGCTAAACAGGGAGGGCACTGGCAGCCGTGAGTGACAGCAGCATAGACATGTGTTATGTGGAGAGAAACCCTTCTATGTCCTCTGTCCTTCCAGACCAGCACCCCAGCCCAAGCCCGAGTTTTACCTTCAGCGAGTGGGTCCAGGGTATGTATCATGAGCTGGAAGATGCTATTCCTCATGAGACTGTTGTGGAGAGAGGCAGAGCTTCCACCCCGCTGGAGACGTGGCTTAGTCTGAGCAGAAAAAGTAGACAGAGATGCTATTAGCTCTCAGAAAAGGGAGGAAAGTGCATTCTCGATAAGTTCTTGACCTTGTCTGGTGGTCTCTCATTGCTGTCATGTGACCCAACACACTAGTGAACCAGAGCCTTTCAAATCCAAAACAAAAACAAATCCCCAATCTCCATTTTTTTGGATATATTTTTAAAATCCTAAATAGGGACTTCTTTTCCCTCTTTGGTTGATTGTATGCTATTTTCTTTGTTTCTCATAGGAAGAGAGGCTGTAAAGGAGTCACGCTTTAGAGGTGGGCAGATTTAGGAGGAAAAGAGGTCATGTCATGTAAGGGAATTCATTTATTATTGAACTTATTGAAAGTCAAATATTGACATGCAGTTTTTCTGGGTTCAGGTAAAATTAAAATAGTTGTTTCCACTAAGTCTTCTGACTCTGGACATTAGAGGGTTTTCCAAAAGATGTGATCATGCTCTAGTCCTAACAGAGGGCTGCCCAAGAAAAGTCCTCTCACAGACTCTATGGTCAAATACATCTGGGAAGTGCAACATCTTCGACTAGCCATTTTGGAGATTCAGGATATGTATTTGACTACGTCTTAACTTTAAAGACATCTATCTGGCTAACTTGGACAATGTTTTCAAACGATTGCACACAGGTCCCTGTTTTCCTTAGAACACTTACTAGCAATCATGGTCCATATGTTTGCAGCCAAACATGACACTCAAAGTGACCCTGACGTTTGGATAAAATCTCAGAAAAGAATCTGACTTTCTTAGAGGGATTTTTTAATAGTTGTTACTTGGCTAGAAAGCACAGTCCCAATCCAAAAGAATCAGAAAGGATGAATGGTATTTCAATGGGGAATCAAACTAAGGGATTTCCAAAGGAAGGGAATGGCTCTGTCCCCCTCCCTACCTTGAAACTGAATCTGATACAGCATCTAGGCTCTTAATAATTGTTATGAGTCCTTGTTTGGAGCATTATAAGACAGAGGCTGAGGGCCTATGAGTATTTCCATTACTGGTTCTTGGAGACATATTTTCTATCATTTTGATGCATTGTGCTACTTGGTTGTAGGGGACTCATGATCATTGTTGGAAGAATTTGAATGGGTGAGGTTAGGAGACTTGAATAGAGTTGAAATGAAATTATAATTTAATTGCTGAACACAAGAACGCTGAAAGTAATTTTCTCGCCACACCGCGCAATAGAAAATGTGATGTGTTAATTGGATGGGAACTGAACACTGTGTTTACTGTTGATAATTTGTCATAATCACTCTTAGTATGGTCCTTATTCTGGGAAATTGGAAGAACTCTGCTGTGAAGGTCTTTATTAAAATAGGCTTATATCTATGGAAGAACTTGAAATTTGTCTTGTCCTTCATAAAATCCCCCTTGGATTACAAAGAAGAAGAAGAACGTAATATTTTGGGGGACACTATAAGTATAGATCGACTATATAAGGCTCATGCAGTATTTCTTTTGAAGGGATCAAAAGAAATTTCTAACCAACAGGTATGTGCATGCAGCTCCATGGAGCAAATAGATACCATGCATCAGACCCCACAATGGCCCCAAATAGCACCACGGAGTCCCTTGGAATGCATTCGGAAATATCTCCCTCTATGAATTTTTGCCAAATTAATTTTAAATGTAGGAGTTGATTGTCTAACATTGCTAATTTAATTGGGCACCCTAGCATATGCAGGAAAGAAAAAGAATCAGAATTCTGAATATCACGGATTTTCTTTGATGAAAACAACAAATTGTTATATACCGTATACACTGGAGTATAAGCCGACCCGAATAGCCACTGAGGCCCCTAATTTTACCACAAAAACGGCATTTTAAAATGTACTGCAATATAAAATCCCTTTGTTATTTTATAACTTGTAAAAAAAATGTGCTGAAAAACTTGGCTTATACTCGAGTATATATGGTATATTTTCCCTTTTGTATAAAATATATGAAATAGATATGATTAAAAATGAAATATGTATTCGCGCACTGCCATCGAGTCTATTCAGACTCATAGCCCCTTTGGGGGACAGAGTGGAGCTGCTCCCGTGGGATTCCCAGGCTGCACATCTTTCCAGAGTAGGAGGTCTCAGCTCCCCCGCCCCCAACCAGCCAACAGTGGTTTCAACTGCCGATCTTGTGCTTAGCAGCCCAGCACGTCACTTGCTACATCATCAGGGCTGCTTCTTAAATATATAAAATACATGAATGTAAAAATTTGTCAAATGGAAGGGGGAATTCAAATTTTTGGGAATCTCATCCCCCAAATAATTTTTCAACAAACCTCGGAATTCAGTCATCACTGAGAGTAGGCCAGAAAATAAAGCCACACCAACAGGTGAAACCATAGGGCTATTCCCAGGAGAGAATGCTTGTCACATGAGCCCTCTCTCTCCCCATGCCCCTCCTCTCCACAGGCACACGGACAGGGACAAACAGGGCCACTGCTTCCTACCGGTAGAGCCTGCTCATCCTTGTCCCTGGTTGTAGATGACTGCGGAAGAGGAAAAGGCAAAAACAGAAGATGAGAAATAAATAAACGGTGAATCACAGTAGATTTTATACTTAATAACAAATATTAGTATAGGGAACGATTTGGCTCGATCTCTTCTTCAACAGATTAAGCAAACAGGAGGACTGAGGGCATACATTCCCAGCCAATATATAATGACTTATTTAAGCACATGATAAGGTTTTTGAAAGGTCACAGTGAGTGGCCGGCCTCTGCTCAGCCATAGACGGCAAGAGAAGCACACATCTCAGTCACGTTGTGGACCCCCAGCCATTTACAAGCATGAGGGGAGTCAACGTGTACTGACAAACATCTAAGCATTTAAAAACCCCTGATATGTTGTTATCTTATTTCATAAATGAAAAGAAATGAATGGTACTTTAGTACTGGAAAAAAATAGTCTGCAAGAATGACATCAAACTGTTTTTATAGATATTGTTGGGGGATGGGACTCTAAGATTGAGTCATTTTCCACATCTTTTTTGAAAGGTTCAGTTTTCATAGTTGCCCAAATGGCCAAAAAAAAATCCCCATCAGCCTGAAGAGGTAGGGTGGTTAGTAAGGCAGGACCATCATTTAGGGAATTCAGAGGGTCCAACTCCTCTTCCACTCCCACCACCTCCAGTGACAGGGAAATCCCTGTCAGGGAAAAGTTGACTAGACCCCAAGGGCACGTGAGGACCCTGACCTTTGGGGAGAGAACACAGCTCAGATAGAGAGCCCTGGGAGTCTACCAACGAGACCCAACTGGACTGCGCTGACTCCTCAGCTCCATACAAAGCCTGCTTGGGCCCTGGAACCTGGCAGTACCTGGTGAGCTGCCAGCCCCAAAGACTAAGTGTCTTGGTGGTAAGCGCTTTCCTGCAAGCACTTCCCTCTGTTCAGACCTCTGCCTTTCAACTACACGTGCACACAGCACGACGAACCGGAACCTTCCTTCCTCTCTCGCCTTCCGTCATTCCCACTAGACTCGAAGTGGACCTGCATGCCCGGGATTCATCACACAGAGGGAGAAGAGGAGACGGAGGGAGGGCAGTTGAAAACCCTCCGCTTCAGCTCTCGGCTCTCTTTCTTTTTAGGTCATTTCCACACGCACCATACAAAACACAGCGCCCAGCCCATCTAGGTGCCTGAAGTAACGGAGGGAAAGGCTGCTTGATCCTCTAACTGTTAAGTGATTCGGCTATGTGGTAGTTATATAATTGTCAACATGAGAGGATTATGAGTGAAGGGGTGGAGTTTAGTCTGTCAGTCAGATCATAGCCAATGAGGCGTCTGTGTAGGCATGGCCTTCTCCTGAGAATTCTGGGAAATCTGGGATTTTTCCTCTTTGGAGGTGGGAGACTCTCTGCCACTCCTTGGGAGACATAGCAGCTGATAAGACACATGGGCCCACCCTGATGCAGAGACCCCTGCCAGTGCTGAGATGTTTCCAATGCCACTGGATCCAAAGACTTTCTACCACTGGCCTGTGATCGTCTACATTTCGGTGTTACTGCATGTGTTTCATGAGTCTGAAGAGGACTTTACAGATTGCTATTGGACATATAGGCTAATATCGGACGTATGGGCTTGATCTGGACTAGGCTGGGATGTTTTCTCAATGTTTAATTGCTTTTGTACATAAATCTCTTTCTTTTTTTTTTTTAAACATTTTATTAGGGGCTCATACAACTGTTATCGCAATCCATACACACATCAATTGTGTAAAGCGCATT